TATTCTTAGGAAGTTTCAGCTGAATCCAAGTTTGAGCGATTTTCGTCATAGTAGCACTTTAATTTCATTTATTGAACTAGTAAGTGACAAAGTTTTAACACTTTGGAAATTTTTTTCCTTTAAACTCCAGAAATTTATCACATCGTCTGATTATACACATTCATATACTATAAATTTAAGTAGAGTATTTTTAGAGTGCATTCAACAAACTTATGCACATAATCATGGACAATAAAACCATGGAATTAACAATCTACCTGCTGAATTAGTCACAGCCCCAAATGTTAATCACATTGTCTGATTATACACCCTTATATACTATAAAATGAAGTAGAGTATTTTTAGATTGCATTTAACAAACTTATGCACATAATCATGGACAATAAAACCGTGGAATTAACAATCTACCTGCTGAATTAGTCWCAGCCCCAAATGTTAATGCATTTAAAAGTGGGGTCTGTAAATTAGGACACCAACTTTGATCCTGACCTCCCCGAGCACTTAAGCCTCGAAGAGAGGGCGTGCTAGCAATTTGGTAAATGTAAACGCAATCTAGAAATTGGYTTTTCAGTCCATGATTTTGGTCTGTAATAGTTGCTTGTCATTTAGTTTGAGTGCGTAACTCCATGTGCAAGCATTACACTTATCTGATTAGAAAGTATTTCTTATATATTGTATTTGTTAACCTCTTCAAATCTTATTTTCAGCCGGTTCCTTGTCATTTAGTTTGAGTTTGTAACTCCATGTGCAAATATTACACATACGAGTGATTGGAAAGTACAGTAAAACCCCGCGTGTAAGAACCTAGATTTTTTAAAGTCAGCATGAACAGGTTCTTATATAAATGGTGCTTAAATTGAAGTCAGGATATCTTGGTTCTTAAATGGGTTCTTAATTATAATTTTTGGTAAGTAAAAATACTGTATTGAATAAAAACTAGGTTAAGTAGTTACTATTTAGATCTTATTTCATGGACACAGTGTAAGCACTCAAACATACAGAGTACTGTATTTTATTATTTACATTGAGAAGGGAAAAAAACAACAGATTTCCGCACAATCCAAATATGGAATTCATCATACCATATATGGAGTGAGATTTCTTTGCTCCAACTTCGACACTAACATATAGAGTAAAGCTTGATAGGCTTTATATTTGGAAATTAAAGAACCTACTTTGACATTTCAGCCTGAAATGGTGCTTAAAATGTAAACTTCAGCCTGACAGGTTCTTAAATTTTAAGTTATTATACGCGGGGTTTTACTGTATTTGGCAGCCTCTTCAAAGCTCATTTTCAGCCACTTCTTGAGTGTTGGTAAACGTATCGTTAAATACGGGTTCGTCCAACAAGAATACATTATCTTGTCCCAGAGAATTCTTTCGGATGATAGCTGTCATAGGGATACCAGGTTTTTTGGAAGCACTTTCCTTGCCTTGCCGATATAGCGCCAAAATAAGTAGCTCGTGATCAGGATGCAAACGATGACTAACAAGGCTAGGATGATGACAAATGGTAGATATGTTCCCTCTGCGTTTTCTGTATCGATGAAAAAAAGGCGAAAATAAGATTATTTGGCAGTCCCATAAAATGATTAATATTTTTTCAGTGATCAATTTTTTTTGGATGTATTTATTTTTGTTTAAAAAAAGCAACAACAACAACAACAAAACAACAAAAACACTACAATGGTACTACCTAACATTGTGTAGCGTTATGGAAAGGTCCTAGCAAAGATTCAGCCCTAACCTTACCTTGATTGTGATTTTTTTCCATTTTAAACTTCTCATCCATATAAATTACCTTAGATGACCACGAAACAATGGTTTGAAGTCGAGACTGAACTTGATTCTTTTATTCATCAAGTTCAATCTCGACATGAAACCATTGTTTCGTGACCAGTCAAGCGAATTCGAGATAGGTCTAATCAGGATGCAATACGATTAGTTTGTGGCACACTAGTATAAAACCTATTTTGCCTGATGTCAAAAATTAAGACACAGGAAGCCCGGCTYAAACATGTAAGGCGTTACAATCACTTTTATAATATCTTTTTTTCTAAAAGTTCACAAGTCTGAGGCGGGCTTCTTTGATAACGTAGATCTACTCAAAAACTAAACAAGTGTTTAGATAGAAAACGAGCGAGCGTCTGTGGAACGTTCACCCGAACACAAARCTACAAAACTACATGACTCGCAGCACGTTTACAAAAACCGAGCACGCGTGCCCTAATGGCACCAACCGCTGATCATCAGCGACAGATAAAGATTGACAACATGGCTGACCTTGATGCCTTTGACTTGACTTTAAAGTTTCTGGGTTACCAGGGGCAACTTCAATCAGTTTGATAGCACGTGACACTGTTTCTCTTCCATTTGTCACACTGCATACGTATATTCCATAATCAGTAGATCTCTTGGGATATACCACTACRACGTTTTGGAGAACTTTGATCTCTGTTGAGTTTCCTAAAGAGGTATTATCCTTTGTCCAGCTGTATTTCATTGGTGGAGCTCCGGTTGCATAGCACCCAAGGCTAACTTTATCTCCATTACTCGCTCGAACCCATGGCGCCATTTTTTGACTTGAAATTTTAAGCTTCTCTGTATCAAGTTAATAAGAATCATGTTAAGAGTTAACAAATCAGCTTGAGGAAAATAGTCCTTATCCAGTGGATAAATCGATGCTGTTATCCACTGTATAAGATTTATCCGTCGGAAAGCGCTATACAACCTTTGTACAACAGGGCCCAGTTGTTAAGGTAATCATATTCATGTGTCTTATCATGCACAATCTTGAAGCGAAGAAATGATACTCTACGGAAATAACACGTGGTCTGAAATGGGAAAACATTAGGCCCAAGCTAAATGGGTCTTATGAGGGCCTAGATATTTAAGCCCTTTCTAGGTTTTCCATCTTTTTTGGTTTTGTTTCATTTTTCTTTTTTAAGTTGCTATAAGAATCATACACCATTTTGAAAACTTAAGTGTAGAGTACTAGGTACTTGGTTCACACATCGCAATTTATTAACACCTTACCTTGATTTGTYTTCTTATTGCTCTTGTTGAAAACGTTGATCAGCGGTTTCACCTCAGTTACATAAGAAACAGTCTCATTCTTGTTTGACGCACGACACCTATAATTCCCATAATCCTCTGCAGTCCTCGGCTTTAAAAACAGGATGTTATCTATGACTTTCRCTGCTGGACTACTAWTTGGAAGACCATCTTTTGTCCATCYGTACTTGATTGGTGGAACRCCAGTTGCATARCAASCAATGGMWGCCTTGYTTCCAATAGCAACRTTTACAGAAGACATCATTTTCTCTMWTAACATTCTTAACTTTCCTAGAAAATATGAGGTCAAGATTTTTTTTAGTTATTTTTTTCAGTTTCTTTTCAATTTTTTTTCCCTTTTACCGACTTTCTTACTTACTTTTTTCAGTGCAAGGGAATATTAAACACTAACATCATGATCTTATTTACAAAATATGTTTGTTATCTGCGACCCAGTATATGACCTTAGGCTGCATTCATAATGTATGGCAGAGGGAGGGGGGGACAGGTGAAATCTTTAAATGACAAAGAAATTCCCCCTTTTGAAGTCCCTCAAAAAATAAGAATCCCCTCCGGGCAATCTCTCGTAGCTTCTTCTAAAAATTTTGCATCAAAAAATTCAAATACCCCAATTTTACTGGTAAAAATTTTTCCGCAGCCCTAGAAACATGGAAAACAAG